AAAATGTCATACGTATATAATTTAAAAATAATAATACTTCTTTTAAAATAATTAAATAACGTATACTTAAAATATTTAAGGTCTCGTACACTAGACAACAGTGCTCACAATATAAAAAATTGTTATAGTTTATTGAATTTGATTAAGGCAATGGCTGCAATGGCTAGTTACCATAGACATTACACTACATGGACTGCTAGTCCTCATATGTTTTTCGTTGTTATGTATACATACATATACATATGTGTATAAATATATATGTATAACAATATGACATTTAATCAATCGAGAGTGTCCGCGATTATCGTCGGCAATGTTCGCTGAAACATGTGACGTCACACTCCCTTCTATATTTGAGCACTTATTTTGCGCTCGACTAGCAGTCCATGTAATAAATGGACTTTTAAATATTTTATACTTTTAAATAATGTTTTTACAAAATTCCTAACTTTACTTGTTTTTGAGATAATAGTGGTGGACGTTTCTACCCTCCGATCTTTAAGTCCCGCTCTACCCTATTTATTAAGTATATCATTTTCATATTCCGGAAAGTTATATATTCGTGCAGCTTTAAGCAATGATATCAAACTAAATGAATGTAGTAACATTTATAAGTATTGTAATATTATGTTGGCTAATTAAATTTATATACATATCTTTGTGATAATATAAAATTTTAATTGATATCCATAAGAATGTCCTGGTAATTTTATGTAATTGCTCAATACGTACTCGAGTAAATTTTACAGTTTACTTGGCTTGGGTATGCATATACACGCTGTGAATCTTTTTTCAAATCTGCAAAACATTAACTGAAGGAACAAGATAGCGACTTAATGGGTTTAGGATTAATTTATTGATTCTATAACATAGATATTTGCTTATTAAGGAATTTGTTTGAGGTTTTTATAACTGCGTAGAATGATACCCGATATAATATACAGAGATTCTAAAGTATGAAAGGAATTTTTATGTCCGCCGTTTTATCTGTCTTTTACATTCTTTGCTATATTAAATTTAGTAAAACGAAAATGAAAGATGTAAATTAAATTTATTCTATATCGTGAATAATAGAATGATTTTGAATTTTTTTATATATTTAGAAATAAGACTATTTTTATTTAATATTTAAACATGTTAGTAATTTTTTACTTCATTTATCAATCAAAGCTGAAACTTTTGACTTCCCTCTCATAGTGATGATTTATTTGTATTGCTATTAGTCATTTATTTTTGAATTTCAAGTAGTTTGTGAAATAATTATTTTAAGAATATATATTAATTTGAAATAGTGCAAAATGATTTAGCGTTTTACTCCTGTATAGTTGTAAGGTTGTATAGATCAAGCTACAATGGTAATTTTTTATAATCATTCGATGTACATGATAATATTGACCTTGATTTTTTCACGCAATTGCTCTCAATATAATTTTTTTTTTAATTTAAACCTATCCTATAAAACCGATATTTTTATAGAAGGTACTTGAATAAATGTCGAGATTAAATAAATAAATAAATAAATAAATAAATAAAATATAATAATACTTTTTTCCGTACGAACAAATATGTATCGATATGACCGGAATACTTAAATATTATATTTTTTATTCATTTGCTATTGAATAACTAATTTAAGTACTCAATATATAGATTAAGTACCAAAAAAATTAAAAAAACTAAAGATAAATAACAAATTTAAATAAGAAGTAATAGTATAAATATTATAGATGGGTGTAATGATAGTGCAATATTAATTTTAAACTAATAAAAATAAATAAATTTTGTAAAGATAAAAAATATGCAACTATAATAGGCCAGTAAACACTTCACATAGCAAACATTACAATATTTAAAAAATTAATGGTATAGTTTGTAGTGCTCTTGATAGTAGTGCTCTTCAAAGAAAAAAATAATTAAAAAAAATTCTAAATATAATTTTTATATAAGTTATTCGTTTTTTTTACTTCATTCTAAAAGATAAACGGCGATGTTTGAAAATCTGTAACATAAGTATTTTTGTATTAAGTATTAAGGTTGTGAGTACTACTGTTTACTTTTTGCCCAAAAGCTTAAACGTGGGTGGAGTAGAAAGGACCAACTGAACCTTCACCCTGGCAAAGGTGTAAACAATAAAAAATAGCAAATAAAAAAGTAAATAAAGTTAAAAAAAAACAATTTCACCAGGGATGAATTAAATAAATAGTTATTCCAACTCTGCTGATAAATTTTTTTGTCGAAATACCAGATCAATGTTATATACAGTGTTCTCTGTAAAAAATACAACCATGAAATTTATATTTTGAATAGTTGAATAATGTAACTATTATTCCGTTAAATTTCTTTAAAAATTAAAATTAAGACATTGGACCTGTTTGCCCTCTGGCCGTCCTATTTTACACCGCCTATGGGGTAACAAGGACCAGGTTACAAAATTTGGAAGAGTAGCAAAAACACATTTCACAATGATGAATTACCTGGAAGTACAATGATGTATTAGCTGAGAGTTTTATTAAACATAGTCAGATAGTTGTTTGTTTGATATGTGTTATTTGTTCTGATATAATAATTGGTTAGGTTTTCACAATATAATTGCTAAAAGTCAAATTGAACTTTTGTACTCCAATTTGCTCTATATACTTATTCGAAACCGAAATACAAAAACTTATTACATTGGTTATGTAAATTATTAATTGCAATGAAAATATAAGTGTGGCATAATATTAATATTAATAATGTCATTTTGCTCAGATAGTGTATTTTTTATTTTAGCTTAGAAACTACTTATAATTCATCATTCATCATTTTAATCTGACATGATCGTATATTCTCGGCGTGAAAATAACAACTAATAAGAGAGAGCTTGAGCTTGAGCTTTTTTTTTTATTAAGGATCGAATAATAGCTGAAGTTATTAATGCTTCTAATATAACTATTTAGATGACTAGTAGATATTGTAGATAAATGTAAATTTATATCTGCATAAATTATCCTTATTTGTTAAAAATGAATGATTTTTAAATGTTCGTAGTTGTTGATGTTCCAATAAAATGAACCTTACCTTTTTACATGTTTATTTTTTCTACAAATATCGCTTCAAATTGGTTGAAATTGATTTTCTAATTTCTAATTTTCGTATCGTTTTAAAAGAACGCTTTTTTTCCAGTGTTCAATTATATCTAGCTATTAAATTATATTCTACTTACATCAGATCTACATCTATAAGTTTTCCTTGTTTATTTTCTAATATGAATCACAAATATTTTACGGCGTTGACGCTAAACATATTACAGCAACTCGAGTAACTGTTAAATTAACGAGAAGAATATAAAATATAAAAAAAACTTGCGCCGTCATGCCAGACCATAATATGTAATTCTGTTGTTAAAGATATAAAATGAACGTTACACAGAAGAGCATCAACTGTATCCTATATTATTAAAACATAATTGTATGATACATGAAATCATAAAACATTACGTATTATTTGGGACAAAGATCTTACGCATGTAAAGTGAATACTCAAAAATATAATAGTTTGTTTCACAATTGGAAGCTTTGGAATTAGTAGATATAGTTATAGATAAAGTGCATTTTGTCCGATTACTTCGGAAAAGGCAATCTTTTTTTTTTAATTTATAGCAATCTTTTTTTTAAATGTAGGGCGGGGCACAAACGTCCAATTTGATTTTGAGCCATACTATTTTGAAAACCAAACCAATGATATCACAAAGAATAACACACATCAAACAAACAACTATTTGACTATATTCAGTAAAACTTCCAGCTAATTCAATATTGTAGAAATGTGTTCTTTGGCTGTTTTTCCAAAATTTGTCACCTGTTTTTTTTTACCTCATGAGCGGAGTAAAATGGGATGGTTAGAGGGCAAACAGATTCAATGTCTTCTTTTAATTTCAAACAGATTTTGCAAAATAATAGCTACATTATTCAACCAATGCAAAGTATAAATTTCATTGGTACATTTTTTACAGAAATAACACTATATATAACCTTGATCTGGTAATTTGTCAGAAATATTCACCAGCAAAGTTGGAATAACTATTTATTTAAATTTTATCTTGTAAAATTGCTATTTTTAACTCAATGTACTTTTATATTTACTATTTTTTATTGTTTTCACCTTTGCTAGGTTAAAGGTTCAGTTGGTTCTTTTTAACCCACCCACATAAAGGTTATATAAAAAACTGTTGAATCTAACTTAAAGTTAATGATACTTATTTCATAAAACAATTAAATAACACATACTAAAGAATTATATTGAGGTGTCTCGTAAACTAAACAACAGTGCTCACAACCAAAAAAACTAACAACGAAAGAAATTACTTTTGTTATGAATTTGCAAATATTGCCTTTTATCTCCAGAAAGTAGCGTAGCAAGATGATGGCTGGTTGTACATCTTTTTCTATCTACTTTCAAATATTGTTGATAAAATAATGTGGATCAGATGGGTTGTGGATTTTTGTATTTGCTGATCTTTAAGCCCCGCTCTACTCTACTTCAAATCATAAAATATTTTGTTGTGTGTGTATTTTTTTAGGAAAAATATAATTCTAAAATCAACAGCAAAGTATTTTAAAAGTTAATAGCACAATATTTAAAAACTTTTAGTCAATTGCGTACAGAGATTTAAATTTATTTAAATTAATATAATTTAACATAATTATGAAGATGACCGATTAAGTATGCAAAGTACAAATATTACAATTATATTATATAAAAGCTTTATGTAAACGTACACGCGTGGAATAAAACAATAATTTTAAAAATATAAATGTTGCTGTTATAACAAGTTGGCATGATACTTTCTTTTACTCTACAAACACCAACACCAAATACATTTGCTTGTATCATTATTTTTTATGTTTCAAATGAAACCATTTTGAGTATTTACATGAATAGTTTTAAAAATATTATTAAATTTTAATATATACTTGATTTTGATAAATACTAAATTATTAATGTATATTTTTTATTTGCAGGAATCCAAGACAGTGGCTTTTCAACCGACGCAGCGTCAACGTCCAGTAAAGAATCTAGCAGCACGACCCCATCTGCCACACATAGCACTGGAGTCGTGCACGGACCAGGACCTGGACAAGGTGCCAATGTTGCACTCGACGAATTATGGTCGCTTTTAGACGTTATTCATAGAAAAGGTAGGCGATTAATTTTAAAGATACATTTATAATTTTAAGGATTTTGAACATACATTTATAGTTTGAAAAGAATATCCGTTAGCCAAACATCAATCTTACGCGTTTCTGTCTAGAACTTTCAAGAGTGTATATGAGAAGGAAGGTTTATGCTTTTTTCAATATAACAATATTATTTCTTTTCGTTTTCTGATATTAATTGAAATATAAATATGTATTTATGATCATTTAGTTTAAAGGAACTAGATATAAATGGATTTTTCCTTAAGACAAGTTGCATAAACTCCCCGTTTATAAAATCTATACAATCAATATGAAATCAGACTCAGCATTTTCTAAAACTGTGACGATAGAATTTTGAAATTTCGACACTCTCTAATATTCCAAACATTAGTGATCTTTTATAATTAAACAAGTTTCCGTAAGTCCGTACTGTTTCAGAATTTCGTAGGGACTATGAACCTTATCATTATATAAATTTTCGTGAAAATCGTCAAATTTTTTTATTCAACTATCTATTACAAAGAAACAGTTCGGCTGATATTTACCAAGAAACTAATCAACACGATTCCAAACTGATGTCTTTCGAACAGTTTCGGAATTTTTATCGGTTCAGGATTTTGGGCCAATACATGTGCAATAAATTTTGATTTTTTTTAACTAATTCTAAAGAAACGGCTCGGCCAATCGTCACGCATAATTAATCAACACGAATCCTTACAGAGTTACATCAAACGGCTTACAAAATGTTTATATTGGTGCAATCATTTTTGAGGAAATATCAACGAAAAGTTAAATGTTGACTCATAATATTTTTTCAATTTTGGTGTAAAAAAATCTAAAAAGACTACTGCAAGAAAACATAAAATTAGCAAGTCAGATTTTCTGACGTAAATATAACCTTCTCTTTTAGAAAGTTAACAATAAATAAATAATATAATAACTAAATATCTTTATCAATTGTAAGGGCATTACAAAATCAAATGGTTTTTATTTGCCTTTTTATGAAATAAATAATTGACATTTTCATATCTATGAATTTTATAAATAACTTTATATAACTAAACTTTTTCAATAACTTATCATTCGATAAATTATTATAACATTACTTGAAATAAGTAAATATATTTTTTTTGTAAGTTTGCTAACTAATGAAGGTATATTTATTAACAGCTAGGTATCAATAACGTCGTTCTTAACACGTTAATCGCCACGATAATATCACCAAAAATTTCACAGGGGCGCCATGGTAACTTTATTAGATAATTTATTACATTTATAACTTTATTAGAATCGGGGAACTTTAATGCATCAAAGAAAAAAATATTGACAAAACTCCTGGAAAACACTATTCTTGACGTCACACATATATGACGGCAAGAATATATGGTTCTCTGTTAACTGTTATTTTGATGTAAATTTAACTACAATTTAATAAATTTTACAATTATATAGTAATTTTTGCGACAATATCGATTTTTATTTTCACAAACCTTGTTGATGTAATGTGATGAATTGCAACTTCCTGTTCTGCCTAATGTTCTTAATTTGCGGTTCGGTTTAACCAGAGCTAAATATTCAAAAATCGTAATAACAAAGGAATTTAAATTACTATTTTGTAATCGATTCAAGCAATGAAAATTTCTTGTCCTTGGATCAAAACACGAGTAAAAATATGTTACTCCCTCTGCTTTATATGTCACGCTCGGCTAAATATCAGCTTTTGAATTGTAACGCTCGTTCATTCCACATTCGGAAGTCGTAACAGGTGTGAAAAATAAAAATCATTCTTTTTTTCTGTGTTTAGTGATAAAGATTCAATAAAAATTAATGTCCGGACCAAATTTACATGTATGGGATCGTCGTGCACGGTACGTGATTTTAATCAACTCAAATCTTCGAGACGGATTAATCGCTAGCCTAATTTATTTACTACTTCTAAATATTTGCATACTTCTAGATACTTATGATACGATTTTATAAAAAAAAAGTGATAAAGTTTATAAGAGCACATCAATTTGTTTTGTCAAAATATTAGAAATAATTTTTGAAGTATCACTATATCAGTTCCAGTAGATAGTAGACCTCAGGTTGGACTATGAAATTGAATTATTTAATGCTTATTGAAATAGACTTATAGTAAATTAATTCTATACTGAGTGAAATAATATTATACAATAGCAACAAATATATATTAATTGTTATATTTTCAAGATTTACCAAATTCAACCAGAACATCATTCTTTATATAAAAGATACTACTTTTTGCCACTTTTCAAAATATGTTATACTAATCTTAGACTAAATATTATTTGGTATGTGACTTATTAATTTATACATATGTCCATTATTATTAGGGAAATCATTATATTCTATTGTAATTGTGAACTGTGTGTTTGAAATCTATACACTGTTTATTGTAATCTATTTAAATAGAAACTAGTCGATAGCCAATCGTTTGAGAAGAAATCATACAAAGACCTTTAGATTTAACAAACATGAACATATAGAACGCATATAAAATTTAGTTCAATTATTAACTTCGTTCCGGAGTTTGTTGTTAAACTACACCAAGTGAAAAAGTTAATAATGAACATTTTGAGTATAATGAATAGTGCAACCGTTGAGAGAAAAATTACTAAAATTTGTGTACAATGTTAGAATTCGAGTGATGATATTTTTGCTTGGTAATATTTAATAATTTAATTGTTGCTAGAAATATTATTTTAAACCGGAACCGGTCTGTACTATTTCAGAATTTCGTTAAGACCAAGGTTCATGGTCATCATATAAAATTTCGTGAAAATCGTCAAATTTGTTTTTCAACTATACAATTTCAACCAGTAAAATATTTTAAACTGTCAAAATCTTATGTGGTTGCTGTGCAGTTAGGCGTTTTAGAAAGAAAACCTAACCTAGAAAACTCGCAAATATCTAAGAAATGATGTTATCATAACTGGACCTTTAAGATATGGTTTGATAACATATGAGTGAAGTTGCATTTTATGTGTTAAACGCCTGATAGCACAGCAAATACATGGCATTTTGTCAGTATTCAGTAGCATTTTGTATGAAAACTGGTACGTAACATAGTCTTGCTTCAACATTGGTCTATTTTACGGCAGAATTGGTCCATAAGTTTATGTAAAGAAAAATTATTGTGACAATTTTTGGAAAACAACACTTTTTTTTATATATGCATCCTTGGTTTATAAAACGAGAGTAACATTATTTACAGAATATTTAAAACGATTATGTTATTAGGTATGGTAAATAAGTGTATTTAAGAATCTCATTCAGCTTTTACATTTCATATTAATAACTACTCTGGTCTGCGGATTATAATAATTTTTTTCATTAATTCAAATGTATATTGTTTGCCTGGGCTCCTCTATTTTGAGGGTTACCATTAATTTCAAACGCTTGGTTTTCTACTGCGATCGTCCAGCCATGACGATTTGTAATTCTGTAATGGTCGGACACAGTTTCACAATTTTTTATGCGTATGTATTTCTAGGTATTTCTAATATTGCAAATACAATCTAGAAACCTCGAATGCAGACTGTAGATTTTTTGTTTCCTTTCATTATCATTTGCAATTAACATTATTTCTTATAATTTATATCATGCTATTGAACATATCAAGTAATAAAAGTCGACAGATGATGAGATGATAATTGATTCTAAATTATATTATTTCTAAAACGGTACATCTGGTGCTATCCAATATTATATAGATAACACCATGTATACAGCTAGTATAGACTAGTCTATTTTAACACTCTACATTGTTTTTTGCATTGTTCCTAGTTCAATTTTCAATAAAACATTTATTTCAATATTCTTAACTTTTCATTTTTTATATTGCACATAATTTATTTATATTTGTTATTTTTCTCCCCAGGCACACGTCTACGGGACGAAGCCCAGCAATTGCAGCAGCAGCAGGCGTCCTCCTGGACGCCAGGTGACCAGCTTCCAATACAGGCGTCCAACGAACAGAATGGCATCCATTTACAAAATGGCGGCGCTGAAGCATCTCGTCTTCGTATCGCATTGGACGAAGCTCTGAGACAAAGGGACGCACTTGATCAAGAATTACGAAAATTAAGACTATCTTCCAACGAAGAGCAATATGAAAAAGACAGAGAAGATGATGAGAAGAAACTGGAAGAAGAGATTTCGTCCAGAATTTTAGATGACGCTTTAGGGCCATTGCAACTTCCATTGAAGGTTGAACCACCTGATAGGAACTGGGTTAAGGCTGTGTTGTTGGAAAATAGTGCACTGAGCTTGAAAAGACATTTATTGAATGCTTTAGCGAATAATAAGGTAAGAAGAAATATCATCTCATCAGAATCATAATATCGTAAGCTTTTCTAGATTTATGTCGAAGGGGCAGCTATAATTTTATAGCGCCCTATTTTTTTTTAATTGACTGTATCAGATTTTTTAAGAGTAGCTATAATTAAAATCACGTCATTGAAATGAATTAAATTTGGCATATGAAACCAATTTTTTGACACCATTATACATTTCTTTCCTGTAATATTTTAAAATACTTCGGAATTGGATTGGATGGATTTAACGTTTATTTAGCTGCTTAATGAATTTAATTTCGTTTTGAAACAAATAATGACTGACCTCAATGCAAAGATTACTTCAATTTTTCAATTGACTACTTGATTGAAATTGTTCGTATCTTCAATGAGCAATTATTTTATGCAAGAATAAAATCTATATAACATCATTTGATGTTGTCGTTATTACTCAATGTATTACAATATTTTTGCTGGGTGGTGAAATAATCTAATATTAACTGTGTACAATTTAAATTGAAAATGTTGTCTTGAACTATAAATACAAAATGCAGAATTATTTATTAAGAGGTTATTCTTTCTTTCATTGTCTACCATAGTTTTAGTAATTTAAATTATATAAAAATAACAGTATTCTATTAAAAATAATCTTACAGATTTTGTATTGTAATATCTATACATTATCATTTTTGAAGCATTTTATATTAATTTCATAGAATGAATAATACAAATGTTGTTTTTTATTATAGACATTACTGCACCGCTTGGAAATCTCAGACAGAGCAAGACGAGTGCTTGAAGATACTATTGCTAAGTACAGAGAAGAGGTTGATGATCTACATTTTCAGGTAAGTCATACAATAATTTCCTATTAATTCATACTACTTTAGATATGTCATAATAAATAAATGTGAATCAGTAATATTATGTGCATGAGTAAGCATAGATAAACTATGTGCTTACTAAGTGTATGTTAATGAAATAATAATCTGTGAAACCAAGGTAAAAGGTAGAACATTTCTTTGAAGTGTGAAGTGCCGAACCACGTTTTTCTCAGTTATAGGAATCATTTTTTATTCTGATATGCATTTGAATCACAATTAAGAAATATACAAAATTTATTTGCGTTCTGACTTGATACTTATGGAGTGTTGTTTCAAGCCTAATTAAAAGGGATTAAAATTGAGCCTAGATCTTTAATAAGCATTAAGACTAGGCCTTTAACAACTACTTTTTGCAGGTCTATAATTATTCACGATGTCCTTTAAGACTCTAAACATAAGACCATGAACTTAATTACTACTTTTCGTAGGTCTGTATTATTGCAGGACGCTCGTTAAGGCCATGAACTTTATCATCATGCATACAAAGTTTCATGAAAATCGTCAAATGTTTTGTTCAATTATTTATTACAAAGAAACGGCCCAGTTGTGATCTTTACCAAAAACTAATCAACACGATTTCAAACTGATATCTTTGGAACAGAGTCTGAATTTTCAAAATCAGTTTAGGATTTTGGGCGAACACATGGACAATTGTCCACATTTAAACTCATATTACCGAATCGATTTTAAAAAATCAAAAACTGTTCGAAAGATATTAGTTGGGAATGACACTGATTAATTTTAGGTGAAAATCTACCGAACCGTTTTCTTGTAATTCGTTGTTGAAAAAAAAATTGAGTCGATTTTCATGGAACTTTTTTGGCGATATATATCCCTGGTCTTATAGAACTTACTGAAATATTACGGCCTTACGACAAGTAGTTTAATTTTAATCATTCATCAAAGTTTGAGAAAATGAGTAGTTTTTTTGACGTTTGTTAAAATTAAAATTAGTCGATTTATCTGGTATAACAATAGAGTACTTGGTCTTAACGAACATATTACACAGTTAAAGTCCTACGGAAACTGGTTCAATTATAAAAAATGATTGATTTTTTAAAATTTGCTTTTAGACGATACTCCTACATAAGGTGTTCGATTGTTTTCAATTATGTGGAAACTTTTAAGAGCTCATAAATTAATATATTTTTTATTGATTAAGTCGATTATTTACACATATCGGGAAGTTCATATAATTTGTCTCAAGGAAAATACCAATACCAACTAGTTTTTTAAGGAAATAGCGGCGAAAATTTATTATTAGAAATTGGCAATATAGGGGTGCATGGTTCGGTTTTATTATTTAGTGTATTTATTAATAAATTGTTATAACTCAAAATATTTCAAACTGTTCGGTTTGACTTTCAATTCTATCATCTTGCAAAGTTTCATCAAAATCCCAGAAGAGTAAAGTTAAAGTTGAGATTCTTTTTGTCACTTTTGTCATTAGTAATTAGAATTTCTTTAAAGTATCGATTTTTTAGTATTCTTAATTAATGTTTTTGTGAACTTTATTGTGAATTTTAGCTGGAGGAAAAGAATATCGAACTTGAAGGAACGCGCGCACGGATTCGCATTTTAGAGAACAAAACTATAAACCGCTACAGTAGTTCTACTAATGTAGTTTTGCATGGAAAGGATATCACACACAACGATGGATTCAAGCCTATTTCAAATTCCAATCAAGGGCAGTTGATTGTAGTCAAGACACCAGCATCACCATACAGCAGTAGCACCGAATCGGCTCACGACGTGGATACAAATCACAACGGTTTCAATTCTACAAGTCCTAAACATAGGCCAAGTAGAATACCTCTACCTGGTCATTCCAGGACTGCTTCAACGACTCCGTCCAAGCTGAATGTTTCTCCAAATAGATCACTTAGCAGAGACTCCTGTAGAAGTGCCTCCAGCATTCCAATAGCCAAAACACCTCATACCACTATGAGGAACTTGAGCTCTCCAGTGCCTAGATTGAAAAGAGATTCCTTGACGGGGAGAATAAGGAATCATGATTCTTTATCTAGAGTGCGAGAAAAAAACTTAATTTCTAGCAACAAGAATGTTTCGACTTTGCACAAGAATGCAGGTTCCAATACGCATTTGGTTAGCGACAAGGTCAGACAGCAGAAGATGCCCTTTTGGTCAAATTGGTTTAAAATGTTGGACAGCGGTGGGCAATGAGAATTTTTGAAGGATGTTAAAAAAATCTTGCCTTTTACATAATAGACTTGATAGAATTATTATTGTATTATTTATTTCTATTAATATTTGATATCTATATTTAGATCAATGAATGCTACATATATTTTCGGAGCGGTTTTTATCTAACTAATAATATTATTAAGAGGAACTATTGTAATTTTGCAAAAGTTTCCCAATAAATAAAAAAACAAAAATATTGCAAACAAAAAATCAGTTTCAATAGCGTTATTAATCATAATTATTTGAAACATCAAGTTTTAATACTGCAAACAAACCATTATTTTATTTCATTTATCTGAGGATAAATTTGTTTGAAGATTTAAAAGACTGTTGGTTTGTTCATATGCATTTAATTATTTGGTACAGAAATATATTTTTTTCATCAATTTATCGAATGGTTAAAATTGAATAATGATTAAAAATGAGCAGCTCCTACTAAACTTATGATTAATTAATGTAGTTTCAAAAGACACAAACTATTGTTTGATAATTTGCATTCAAAATGTTTTCCTATAATCAAAAATTCATATATCTAAAGTATTGTAGAACTAGCAACAAAATGTTTAATTTGCTAAATACACTAGTGATTTTTATAGATATTTTTAATGATCATCTGATCTAATAATACTTTAAATACGAATACTTAATTTGAAAAGCTGATTCTGGCCAACCGACTGTTTTGTAAATATGAATTTATTTAAAATATTAACCTATTAATCAATAACAGGTAATTATTTTAAGTGTGATGGACTAATGTATTTAATTTTACATTAAATATATATAGATTTGGGCACATAATTTCAAACTTGGTTTGATCTGTAAATTGTATGTCAGTATGTGATTATGAAAATATAATGTAGGGAGATTATTTGATGAATATCAATTAAATGCATGTTTAACTTATGGATCTGAATTTAAAAAATATATATTTATATTTAAAGACATATTTTTAATATAACAAGAAAAATATCATTCGCTTTATTTGATATTTTGTATTTCTGTAAATATATTTTAATTAAAATTTTATTGTAGATTATTAAATACTGGTTTACTATTATGAGTCAATATATTTATAATATAAAGTAAAATAATCTTTTAGATGATTATTTATTTTTATTTATTCAATAATAGAAGATTATCTTAGAGGTAATCTTACTTATGTATCAACCGCATATAAAGAATTTTTGGCTCTTCAGTAAAATAAAAGAATCAATTCAGAATAAAAAAATGTATTTGTTGTTGAAAAATTTGCAGTTAGAAGTTGAAAAAGACCAAAACATCTTTGTATGTGTTGACCTTATATAAACATACATATAAAATTATTAGAACTGGGCAGGACCATTATAGCAATTATTATGCAAATTGTAAATTAATTATCTTGCAATTCAAACAATTAACATATTTGACATACATAAGTTTCATATCAGGTTAGCGATTATTCTTTGACTTAAATCTTCTTAATAGTCCCAAAAAGTTTTAGCTTTTTTTACTTCTTAATAAAGAAGTATTGTGATAATGCAAAACTTTTAATAGATCTTGTGCTGAAAAAAGTCACATCTAGTATACCTAAACATAGGATAAGTATGAAGAAATGTGGTATATAATATAAATAAAAAAATTCCATTGATAAGTGTATTACTATATGTTTTTACAATATAGTATATATTAGAAATGTAATGGATGAGATTGCCTATCTTTTATACTCTAACGTAATTAAAAGTATAAATAGACTATCATTTAATGTACTGATATTTAGTCAAATGGAAAATTTTTGTGAAAAGTTTTATCTATTACATCTCTAATATATGAGTAAGCATAATAAAATATTGGATTTATGTAAATAAGTATTATGAAAGTCTGTCAGAACTAGTTTACATATATTATCTATTTCGAATATAATGATTGCAATTGTATAGTAATTTTATAGTTATTTTTAGTACAATAGGTAATTAAATTTACAAACTATTATTTGCACATGAACACAATGCTCAATGATATATTCTGATATTGTGTCCTGACATATATTAAATATAAGTTCTCAATATGACTTAACATTGTGTTTTAATAACAAGTTCCATGCTTTTCTTCACATATTTCCGACTGCTTCTCAAATTCTTCCAGAGACGGTAAATATTCATATAGTGCATTTATTGCGTATGTATTTTTCTGATTCTGGTAATATTTTCTTTTCTCGTGTCGAACTTTTAAGGCATCTTGCATTTTCCATATGAACGGTGCACATTTGCAAATTAAAAGTTTAACACAGCTGTAATAATGGACATAAGATAAATGAATTAGTATGATTCGAAACTAAAACTAAATAGAAAACTCATATAGGTGTTGAATAGAGGTCTTATATTACAAATTAGTTATCATGTTAGTTTCATGATTGAGTTAGATATCATCTATATGTGTCAAAGTATAAGTGCTGAATCAAAATTCAGAGTTTCTATTTATGAAAATCATACCCTATGTCTTCGTGAGCTGATCTTCCGGTTGCAATTTCTATTATAGTGTCAGGTAAACTTTTATCAGTTGCTATGCTCAACAATTTGGCTGCTCCTTTAGGTGGAGACTCAATGATCCAGTCGAGTGGAAGGTTTTGAGTTTTTCCTTTATTATTGTAATTGTTTGGTGACTGCAGTAATTCTTTTGGAAGAAGTGAAGAACTTAACTTAAAAATAAAAGAATTGTTAAAACTATAATAATATGATAGTTTTGAATCTGCAAAACCATGAAAATTAAAAATGTTGAAATTTATGAAAATTTTCAAATATATATTATAGTTTCTGTTATTTTATTAAAAATGCTTGAGTTGGAAATACTTTTGAATATTTTGATGAAGTTAAATTTAAAGAGTATTTTGTTATAATAATTAGAAATATGAGACAAAATATTTATATATAAATTTTATGGAAATATTTATATATAATTTTTTTAAATATGGTTGATTATAATTTACTATATTATTTTACTGAACATTTTGAAATACTCGATTATTATATTATAATTTATTAATTCTTATTTCAAATTTTGCGCCATTAATTTGAATGCCAAAATCAGCGCCCTCACGTCTGAGTGGAGAAACCTTTAAGTATTCCTTCTGAATATATTCCCGAAAGGGCAAAGTATTATTGTTTTATCTGGCAATACGATTAAAATTCAGTACTCTTTTTCAAACGTCAGATTCACTGTGATTGTTTTTATTGCTTAACGTGCTTAATCCATGACTTAATTATATATATCTTATTAAATCAATCTGATATTTCGATTATTATTCATATTTAGGTAATATATGATTTTTTCAATAATGATGCGGACCAATGCTCTGAACAAATTATTGAAGACTTTTCCAAGTTGTGCAAAAAGACCACTGTGCACAAATGCTGTAAACGTGAATGACATAGAAATTAATTACACCAGAAAAAGAAAAATGAAAGCATGGCATATTCATTCTTATGGATCATTAGATGAAGTTAAACTGTCAGAAAAGTATAGGACTCCTTTCATTTCCCATCCTAAAGATGTTTTGGTTAAAGTTAATGCTGCTTCAGTCAATCCTATCGATGTGGCTATGTTAGGCAGGTATTATATCCATTTATTTCATTCTATCATGTAGGTTCTACCTACTTTTACTCTCTTGACTATCAGACAATTTTGTTATTAACTATTTAATAGGAGGATATGGGTCTACACTTCTAAATATAATGCGTTGCAGTGAAATTGAATTTCCTCTATGCTTAGGCAGAGACTTCTGTGGAACAATTGTAGATGTTGGTCAAGAAGTTAATCGTAAAATTTGTCCTGGACAAAATGTTTGGGGTGTAGTACCAGTACATTTACAAGGATGTCATGCAGAATATGTTCTAGTTCCAGATAATTGTGTCAGTTTATATTTTATTTTTACATCACATTTCTCAATCCAGACATTCTATTTTAAAATGAAATTAATCCGATTTCTTTTTTAGATTGCTTTGAAACCTGATTATCTTAGTGATGTTGAGGCTGCAAGTATACCCTATGCCGGCCTAACTGCTTGGAATGCTTTATTTAGTATTTGTTCAACTTTAACATCAGGTCATGGACCACGAGGGAAAAAGGTATTTATGAATCTTATGTGTTTTTTAGTAGAAGATACATCTGCAGAATTATTTTTATATACACATATTTTTATATCTTTATCTGATGCCAATGGCACTCTAATATATTATATTTTAATATTATATAATATATAATATATAATATATAATAACTAATATATATATATAATATATATATATATATCTATATATCATCTATCTTCTCTATATATATACTATACTCTATATACTATATTATATATATATAATTATATATCTTATAATTAGGGTGGTCCTTAAATGGTTATTTTCGAATTTCCTTGCTCCCAGGGGCTCAAATGGTTCCAAATAGATAAAACAATTCTCTGAAAGTTTTAGCTCTTAATATTAAGTTTAGATAAGCGCATTCAATCAAAGTTTGTATGGAAAGAGCATGGAAAAAATTTTGAAATTAAAAAAAATGTTTTAGATGTAACTTAGCGACAATGAATGAGTTCTATTCATTCATTTGTGTGCTAAATTACATCTAAAAAACATTTTTAAAATTTTTGAAATTTTTCAATGCTATTTCCATACAAACTTTGATTGAATTGCGCTCTATCTAAACGTTAATATTAAGAGCTAAAACTTTCAGAGAATTGTTTTTTATCTATTTGGAACCATTTGAGCCCTGGGAGCAAGGAATTCGAAATAGACCATTTTAAGGACCACCCTAATATATATATATATATATTCTATATATATTATATATATAATATATATATATATTCTAATTTTTTTTATAAATTTCATAATTTAGATAAATATACAGATTTTTTTTTATTTATATATATTAATTTTCAATACTACCATCAACTCTCTTATTTTATTTAGTGTAATGGAAAATATTATGTAAATTTAAAAAAAAAAAATTTATCATTCCAGAAGAATTTTTTTGCTAAATCGTTGTTTTGCTAATTCCGTCCTTTGTAATCTACTAAAAAACATTCATTTTTATACGATTTAATTTTAAATAAATTCTATATTAATTCTATAATGAAAATAATTTTAAATAATAATTATAAAAAAATAATTTATTTTCTAATTGTTTAATATAAAGTTTAAAATTATTTTTTCAGGTTTTAGTCTTAGGGGCAGCAGGTGGTGTTGGGTCATTAGCAGTTCAAATGTTAGCAGCGGAAAAAGTCAATGTAATTATTATTTACTAACAATTGTTTCTTAGATTAGGTCTAATATAATATTATCATATTAATTGTTAAACTGAGAAGATCTCATTGGAGTTCTTCTTAGGCATCACTTTTAAATATTGTCAATTTAACTCATAGGAATCTTTATGTATTTCTGATTGCTAAAAAGGAAAAAAAAAAACAATTATTTCGAACAATATAAAATAAAAAATTGACTTTTTCAGGTAATAGCTGTTTGCAGTAGTGATGCAATGGAATATGTTTCTAAATTAGGTGTTTCAGATGTTTTAGATTATACAGCAACAGATTTTAGTCAGAGTATATTTGATAAAGGACCGTATGTATGAATTGTTATGTTTTACTTTACATATCGCTACAATTGATTATATGTATATTTTTCTCCTAGGTTTGATATTATATTTGATTGTGCTGGTTTGGGTCCTCAAGGAGCAGGAAAATACCCTTGGAAATATTTGGTAATTTTTTTTAATACTTTTATCATATTTCACATAGTTTTTATATATTTATAATATGATGTTGTTTTTTAGTCTTATATAACTTTATCTTCACCTATGCTAAGAAATACAGATGAATTAGGAATGCTGGCTGGAATGGTAAAAAATATATCCAACTTATTGGAACCGAATATTGAATCATATTCTTCGGGACAAGGTCTGATACATTGGGCTTTTTTCAGGCCAAGTCTAGAAGGATTGATATATCTTAGGGAATTAGTATGCTCTGAAAAGGTTAGTTGAAATTGAATGTTTTTTAAAAGTTTTTTAATTGCATTTTAATATAAAAGTAATCATTCAACTGCTTTTTATCAGCATGTTATCAGCATGAATCTTGGTTTTGAAAATGGGGACAAATTGTCTCATTATTATTTACTGCTTTACTTTATCACCATTTTTTTGTAATTATTTAATTTATTATTTAAATTTTTTTAATCATTTCAGTTGAAGCCTTATGTGAATGAAGTATTTCCTTTTGATAATATTCCTGAGGCCTATAAAAAAGTTTTGGGAGGACATATGAGAGGTAAAGTTATTGTAGAAATGCCTTAATTAAATTATAGTTAATTAAAATAACTATTTGTTACAAAATTATTTAATTTATATTCCTTTATATAGTATATAATATTTATAACTTTATTAATATTGTATTTTAATTGAAATGAATCATTATTTACTAACTTGTATTTCTTTAATAATTAAATAATTTTGTTAAAATATGTTATGGGTGATTATCTTTCAAGTAGAATTTTGATTTTGTACTGTTAAGTACATAATAGGTAAACAGGCTTTAAAAAGTTAAAAAAAAAGCATACATTTTGTGCCATTCTCCAGCAAATTTGTAATTACAAATATTTTGCGAAATATTTACTAAAATTTCTTATTTAAAATTGCATTAACTCAGATATAATAAAAACCCATACTTAATTATTTTCCCAAAGGAGAAGTTTGTTTTCTTGAAATAATTTGATATGCTAATTTTGATTACTCGACATTTCAAGTCATTCTGAATTGAATGAGATCAAATTTGGAAAAAGTATGTATGCGTGCGTCGATTTTGGACCTTTCGTCGATATTTACTCAAAACCGCCGGCTGGACAAATTTCAAAAATTTAAAAGCCATTCAATGTTATTCTTTAAGGACTGGCGTTTATCAGTTTTGTGCGACGATCGGCCCAGACGTTTCTTTGTAATTAGCAGAAAAGTGTGAAATAACTTATCCACGGTTTAGCCCACAATATTTTATCAATTCCGGACCATTTCTTTGTAATTAAATGTTGATTTTTTTTTTGTCGATTTTGCTGAAACTTTGTAACAGTAATGCAATTTTTAATCAATTTCAGGCTGTTTTTTTTTTTCATAATTAAATTTCAAATTAATTAAAATTTTTTACTGATGATGTTGATGAAACTATAGATTTTGTAGTCTGAAATAACATACTAAAATATTACAGGCCTACGATAAGCGGTCAAATTAATCAAAGTTTAGAATTTCACGCAGCGATTAAGCGATTCTAATCAGAATCTACACCGAACATCTATATACGTCTTGTGTTTAGTAGCTACTGATTGCTCATATCTTAAAAAAATACAATTTAGAACGCGAAATAAAAGAATGTGTTAAACAATTTAATTTAATTTTATTTGTACAATTACAATTATTATAAGTATGTTTTATTGACTTTATTTGGAACTCGAATTGTTTAGTTTTTAGTGCAAGCAAAAATGTTATTATCAAAATAAACAGCTGAACATTTTACTTAAGTACCTGAATCAATTCTTATTGATTCCCAAAATCAAAAATTTAATCTTGAACCTTGAATGAACCATATTTTGGGCTATGCGGTCAAGTGGGATAAATACAGACACAATGGTAACATCATACAATGTTTCAACTGCCAATCCTTTGGACACAATGCATCCTATTGTAATTTAAAATTCAGATGCATCAAATGTACTCAAGAACATGGACCGAAGGAATGTGCAAAAAAAAGAAAGATCTTCCACTGTGCATTAATTGTTCAGAAACTCACCCAGCTAAATATAAACATTGTCCTAAGTATCTAGAAATAAAGCAAAAACTAGAAGAATTGTTATCAAATATGAGATTGAGACACCAGTACATCCCTGCTCCAGCACCGAAATCTTTGACAAGGCAGTTCAATGCTGTACTATCAAATTCAAGACAATTTCCACCATTATTATTATTAAGTTGGTTGTTTATAAACCTATTTGTTTACAAAACACACACACACACACACATATATGAGCCGCTCAGTGCACACATCGATTAACTCAATAAAACAAAAAGTTGAGAAACGCGATGATTTAATGTATATTGTTTTTTAAAATTTCCCTGATAATATGAATTCAAATATAAATGTAGAAGCGTCGATGCACGGCCAGAACAGATGCAGCGTTACTGAAACGATTTACATTATACAGAGTATGGAGTTAATCGAAATGGCTTCTGAAATAAATTACTTATTATTCAATGGCCAAAAAAAATTTGCCATTTAACGGTGCTAATCTTTATTATTCCGGAAAGTTATTATAAATACTAAAAGTTATGATTATACCAATCTTTCCCACTAATATCTCAGTTTTTTCAAAAAGTGGAGTTAGTCGATGTGTGCACTGAGCGGCTCATATATATATATATATATATATATATATATATATATATATATATATATATATATATAAGGCAATTTGCCTTAAGGCAAAATGCATTTACAACTAGTTAACATAGCTAGGAGTTAACATAACTAGAAGAAATTATTAACAAGGACAGGAAATTTTATTCGGAATGGCTAATTAAAAATACATTAACGATTTATATTGAGAAAACTAAGTAGATACATTTTAAATAAAAAAATGTAAGGAAAGAACTAAAATAAACATTAAAATAAATAATACAGATATAGAAGAAGTGGAATATATAAAATACTTGGGCCTTATAATACACGAAAAGCTAACATGGACAAAACATATAAAGGAAATTAAAAAGAAGATAGCGGCATTAACAGGAGCTTTGAAAAGATCAATTTTTCGGGAAACAAATTAAGATGCTGATTTTGAAAGCGCATATAATTTCCATAATTTTATATGGAATAAATTCTTGGAGTCAAACAACTAAAGCTAACTTAAATGATTTACAGAGAATAGTAAACAAAGCCATAAAAATATCATATAATTTTTCATATTTAACACCCACCAAATACTGACAAACAGAAACCAATAATCATTCACTAAACAACATAATTAAAATAGAGAAATGCAAACTAATGCACAAAATTAAATATAACAAAATTAAAACACGTACAACAATAGACACAAATCAAGATATACACGAGCACTACACCAGACAACACGAAAATTTTCACATTGAACATAATAGAAAGAAGAAATTAAGCGGAAATGTGATATGGAGCGCAAGTAAAATATATAATGAACTGCCAATCGATATTAAGAATACCAGTGATGACAATAATTTTAAATAATTAATAAAAGGAAATTAAAGGAATTGAAGATTGAATAGATATTTTAATTATAATAAATATTATATCATTAACTTCCCGTAGGGCAAGTTATAGTAATCGCAAAAAAATCGAAAATGAAAATTTTTGCATTTTTCGACGTTTCAAAGGTTTCTGAATATTTTGGCATACCTTAGAAAAAATGAATGTATGTGTATGTGTGTGTGTGTGTGTATGTATGTATGTGCGGATACAAATTTTCGTCGACGATTTCGGGAACACCGATCAACCGATTTGAATAATTCAAAGAACATTCGATTCGTATTTATAAGGAGACGTGCCGATTAGTTTTTGGCGAAGGCAGGTCTAGCCGTTCCGAAGATACGGGGCAAAAAGTGCCAAAAACGGTAACTCAGTTTTTAAGAGAACGGAGCGTCCGATTTTAATAATTCAAAAAACATTTTAATTGTATTGACAAGGTGAAGAACCGATCAAATTTTCATGAAGGCAGGTCTAGCGGTTTCGGAGATCTAATGAAAAAGCTAAAAAAAATGCCATTTTGCGGTCAAAAATGATCATTAGACATATGCACATCAAATTATCAGATATTTTTTAGAGATTT